TTGCAACCACCACTTGATGAAATTTTTCATGTTAGGTGTGCATGTCATGTTTATAATTTAATTGTTAAAAGTGGCCTTGATTTATTTTCAACTGAGATTACTTATGTTAGAAGAGCAGTTGGTGTTATTCAAGGAAATAATAAACAATCTAGAATAAAGAAATTTAAGAATAAGTGTATCCAGTATAACCTTAAACCCAGATTCATGCCAGACGAAATTGTTACCAGATGGAATTATACATATATATTTTTAAAATGTTGCTACAAATATAGATTCCCAATAACTGAAGTTGCTAATGCGCATTGTACTGATCCAAACCGTATGTTAACAACTATTACTTGGGAGGTCATTAATGATGTTGTTAAATTTTTACATAAATTTTATACAGCTACTGTTGAGTTTTCTGGAGCATATTACCCTACTGTTACTATGGCTTTAGTACATATAGCTGAAATTTCTTTTCTACTCTTTGAATTTAAGAAGAAAGAAAGATATATGGATGTTGTTGAAAAAATGCAAGCAAAATTCAAAAAATATTTCTTTCCAATTCCTCCGATTTACTTAATTGGTGCTGTTTTAAATCCTTCTATTAAGATGCCTGATTGTCACCAATTAATGAATGCTTTATGTACTTATATGGAGATTGGACCAACTGAAACCCCACATATATATGTCTCTATGAACAAGCTAAATGATTCTTTACAACAATTATATAATTATTATGTAAATATAATTGATAATGTTGCTCTTAATGTAGGCAATGTTAATCCCACTATGCAATGTACCACTTCTACTACTGTGGATGATGAAGAAGGCCTTGATAGTTTTAATATTTTTTCTACATTTTCTAACACTCAAACCAGTAGCAGGAACATTGATGAACTTCAATTCTACTTGCAGAAGCAAAAAGAGCCTCGCACAAAGGAATTTTCACCGTTGGGATGGTGGCATGAGAATGGAAAGCAATTTCCTGTTCTTTCCGCTATGGCTCGGGACGTGCTGAATGTGCCAATTTCAACTGTTGCATCAGAGAGTGCATTTAGCCAAGCAAGACAACAACTTGGAGACACCCGTCACTCATTGGGAAGCAATGCTTTGGAAGTTTTAGTATGTTTCAGAGATTGGATTAGATCGGAACGAAGAAATCAAGGACATGAAGATGTTGATAGCCCAGAAGACGAGGAACTTGGAGATATATTAACACATGGTAACCCATCAGAATTTAACACTCCAGAAGAAGGCCACTCAGTTCATATTAGATTATGACAAACTTACTAAGGCAATGTCAAAACCTTTGAAAGTTTGAATTTACTCTCTTTTGGTTAATTTACTTGTTGTTAAATGTAAACCTTTCAATTTGTAAGTTTGAATTTTGCAATAAATGTGCACTTGCAATTTATAAGTGCAATTTTTTCCCATCTTCATTGTATACTTTATATTTTTACTTTATATTAATATAACTTACAATAGTTTTACAAAATACAAAAAAAAAATTCAAAAATAACACTAACCCAGCCCGGCCCGGCCCCTTGTACCCGTAACCCTTACGGTTCAATTTTTACCCGGATGAACCCGAACCCGTTAAACCCGATATGCCCCAACCCGTAACCGGCCCGGACCATAACCCGTACGGTTACTAAATTTCCCTACCCAGCCCGGCCCGGCCCGGCCCACCCGTTAGACACCCATATATCAAAGTCCAAACTGGGTACAGGGAGTGCAGAATAGGGTAGGTATATCTTCAGACCAAAAATAAAAATAATTCTAGAGTCAATTACTTGAAGCGTGTCAAGAAGGAAGTGGACAAAAATGAAATGATATCGGCTAGGGCAGAGTAGGAGGGGTGTTGATATAATAAGAGATGAGGAAGTTGGAAATTCTGGCTGTAAAGAGAGGAATTTTTCTATTGCTATGGTGTTTTAAAGTGAAGGGATTAGTATGGCCTTGGATTTTATAGGGGTTCTTGCAGTAGGAGATGGGTCAAAAATAGAATTCTGGGATGAATTCTTTGAGTTTATTTTTAACGTAAGCTTCCTTGGGTGATAAGGGGACTACAAATAATACAGATTTCTGAAGGAAAGAGTGTGATGTCAGATGTGACACCTATTCTAGAGAAATACAGAATTCTCTGAGTTTAAAACTTTCAGTAACTGGTCTATGTTCACTTGGGAGGTGCTAAATCCACATATTTTAAGGCGGATGAACTAAAATCTGTATTAGACTCAACACATTTTTCATTTTACAGACTACGAGGAATTTCTTAGATGCTATTCAAGGTTCACTACCCAGACCACCGTCGATTCATATGCCTATACTTTTGGATTGTAGTTAAAGGAGAAGACCTACGACACAATTCAAACTTCAAAGTTGAAAAAAAGTGACACATATGCGGATAACCGCTAAAAAATTATAGTGCAATAATAGAAGAATATCTTGTCAAAGGCACTCCCTATACTTCCATTGCAAAAACATTAAAAACCCTTTAAAATGATCTCAGAACATGGAATATGGATGTGTTAGGAGGGAGGAGATCAAATTGAAAGAAATGGATGAGATTGAAGAATTAGAGACGAATGACCAAAAGGGATCTAACCAACAGAGAAAAAAGAGGAAAGAAGAAGTGAAGAAGAACTAATGACCCACAACTATTGCTCAAGAATGCAATCTGAGACAAAAATGTAGAGTATTATGGTTAAAAGAAAGCCTTACAACACAGAGTTGCTACTCAATTAATTGGATGTAAACTTTGTAAACACAATGGAGGTCGTAGGGAGAGCATTTGAGGAGAAGGAGGAGGTTAGGAGCCAATTAAGGACTTCTACACACAACAATATAGAAACCTAGGCGGGAAAGAGTAGCTATTAGCAATAACGGAAGGGAGATGATGAACTAGTTAGAGATGGAGTTCTCGCAGAAATAAATCTAGGAGGCAATCCAAATCTGTTGGGGAAAAGCTTTCAATCCCCGTGGTTTATGCACAGCATCCTACCAGCATTGTTGGAAAATGGTCAAAGATAATATCATGATGGTAGATCATGCTTTTCATATCACTGGAAATTTGAAAGGAACCTTAACTTACCTGTATGGGGCTTCTAGCATTAAGGATGTTAGATCTATTAGTTAAAAACATACTCCATCCCAATTTATGTCATGGTATTTGACTGAGCGGGGAGATTAAGAAAAAGGAAGACTTTTGAACTTTGTGGTCTAAAATAAATCATAGATATTTGTGTGACTACAAATCATCTTATTAAGGGATAAAATGGGCCTTTTAAAGTTAAATCATTACTAAATATAGAAAAATGTCATTCTTTTTGGGACTAACTAAAAAGGAAAGAGTGTCATCAATCGTACAAATTGGTATGGAGGGAGTATAAAAAATTATTGCAAAGGTACTTTTGTTAATCTTGAGAAGGTACTAGATGTTACATTCTTGGCCTCCCAAATCCACTCTTGGAAGGAAAACAAAACAATGAATGCATCATTCGATACAGATGAGTCAGTGGACTCTAGAATTAAAGGTTGTGTTTCAATGCTACCGTAAAACTTGATCTAGAAAAGCATATAATCATGTTAATAGGGAGTTTATGATCTTGTAATTGAAAACAAGATGAGATTCAGAGGGAGATGGAGAAAGTGAATTATGCATTGAATGTCCTGAAGCAAAGCGTGTACTGTTAATAGAAGGAACTCCAACAGGCCTCTTTTAAATTTTCTATAGGCCTATGACAAGAGGATCCACTCTTAGCTTACATTGTGCATCCTTGTAGTTGTAGTATAAGCACTTCGCTAGATGATGAACAAAGCTATGGCAGAAGGAAACTTAAGGAGACTCTCAAGCAAAAGGAAGGTAAGACAACGTGCACATATCCAATCTAATGTTTGTTGATCACACATTAATGTTTTGTAATGCGAAGGTGGCTCAATTACAGCATTTGAAGCACATTTTTCTAGGGTATCAGGCTTGCCTGAAGATCAATCTGAGAAATGTGAGACCATCCTGCAGAAGAGGTGGAGAATATTGAGAAACTTGCACAGGTTTTCAATTGCAAAGTTGAATCACTTCGAACAACCTACCTTGGTCTACGGTCTCTGTCTGGAAGCTACTATAAGGACTGTGCACTTTGGTATTCAGTGATTAAGAAAGTTACAAAATTATAGGATGGAAGCATAACTACTTATACAAATATGCAAAGGAGATTGATAAAAAGTACTACATCTAGCCTATTACATGTCTCTCATGCACATATCTGCTCAATACCAGAAAAATTGAAAAACTAGAAGAAATTTCTTGTCGGATACAAATGACCTAATAAACTGGAAGGTTGCTAGGTTTGATCCTAAATGCATCAGCTCTAGATCTAAACAATATATAAGAAACCTATTGTTCAATCCAAGATCAGACTTCAAAACGGTACGCCCAGATCCCTCTCTGGAGCGCAATGCTCTCTTTGCTCTATCTACTTCTCACACTACTGTTTGTCATCTTCCCTCTTACAATCCGAATCTATCCTCTCGAATTTAGTGCTCTCTTTGGTCAAGCCTTTAGAAATTTCAGTTCTCAAGGTTTATTTTTTTATACTTATTGAGATCACAACAGGTCAACTTTTTGTAGGATATAAAATGTACAGAAGTGTCATATTGTATCCTGTGCGCTATAAATCTCTAAATTTTGGAGTTCGATGGTGGCCTTAATGCTTCATATATTATGAAATGATAAGCCTACTGAAAGAATATACTCCAATTATTTGCAAGTCATTTTGAAAATTAACTAAACATTTATTGGAGAATCTACGGCTTCAGAATTGTTTAAAGAATTACAGTAAATGGAAGTTAATGGAAGTGGTTAGCAGTTTGCATAATTTCCTAAGTGAATACTTAGTTCTTTAACAGTTGTTTGATAAGCCGGAAACTGCTAACACAAAATTTGAAGTCAAAAACATACTTTCACACACTGCATTAATAGAGAGACAAAGGAAAAAGGTTAAATGAGTACATACAGTCTTGAGCTATAAGGCCTTTTTCATGCACAACTCCTCCTGCCATACAAATGATTAAATTTATTAAGGCAAAATGTGTATAAATTCATAAGGAAATGAAAAGAGATAATTGCACTTTTGGCCCTCCAGTTAGTAGTAAATTCTGATTTTGGTCCTTTTAATATTTCGCTAAGCACAATAAACCTTCAATATACTAAATCGTGATTTTTTGGTCCCTTTATACAGGAAATAGACTATTTCTAGAACTATATTATCCTCAAATATGGAGTAACAATACAAATTTAACTTAACAAATCAATAATTAGCGCTTAATAGTTCATTAATTCACAACCAGAGGCATTAAAAGTGCACATATCAATTAATCGAATGTTAAATGCGCTTAAGCAGAAATCAAAAGGACCAAAAAAGAACTTGTCGATATTTGAGGGACTAAAAGCACAAATTTCCCAAATGAATAATAACCCCCACGAACATTAAAACGCAGCATACCCCAATTCTGCAATCTCCTGTTCTTCAAAGATTTCCATCTAGAAATTGGCGCACCGTATATCTAGAGAAACACACACAAAAGAAACAAAGTCTTGTAAATAATGGAAGAAAAGTAGATACACAGTATTTCAAGAATAAATAGAACTGAAGAAACTGAAAAAGGCAAAAGGATGGATTAAGTAATTAATGAAGATGGGAATTTTACATTATTCAAGAGCTGGTCGTGTTCAGAATCAGTAATGAAATCTGGAATGTAGAATACAGTGGGTACAGACCCAACTGTGAAGTCGTTCATTTTTCTGCTATGGCAAGGACCAACTTGAATTCAGTCAAAGTATCCCCAGTACCCCTAGTCCGATCAATGAACCACTTATATTGAACAAAAATGTAAAATTAAACAAGAAAATTTATGACGTGTGAATAGTTTTTTGTTACGAGAAGGAAAAGTGCCAAAAATATCCTTAAACTATTAAAAATAGCTCAAAATTTTCTCTTAATGTTATCTTTAAGCTTAAAAATACCCTTCTCTTAACGGAAAGATTGATATGGCATTGATGAGCATTTTAATTGAACATGTTGCATTTATTTAGTGGTCCACACGTATTTTTCTAGCCCAACCCAAAAAATCCGACCCATCCATTTTAATAACCCGATTCTTTTTAAGATAACTAAAACCACATCGTGATATATTTCTCTCCCCCACAATGAGATTTAACAATAATCTTATTTTCTCTTGCAAGAAACCAGTTGACAATTTTTCTCTAGAATGTATAATATTTTTTCCTCTAATGTGAAGTTATAACAGCTCGTGTAATAAGAAACATAAGCAGTTCTTTACATTCTTCGTTTGTAGTAATCCATGAAATTTTTCACATGCACATTAGAAAAATCATTTCTTGGCCGTAAGAACGAGCAGATGAACTTGACGGTCATCTTGTTTTCGCCCACTAGCATAAGCAACAGCTTCGGCATCCCGACCCAGTATCTTTTGTTTCAAATAGGGTTCTTATTTTCCTCTTCGGTCTTTCTTCCGTGATCTTTCATCAACATAATAGAACCAACCATACATTAAACACCATTTAACCAACATAACAACAGTCATAATTAAGCAACGCGAATATTAGAACTAAAAAAGAAAATAAAAATAATTGAAATAAAAAAATTATCTTATATCAGAGAACTAAAATAATTGGTCGAAGATATCGGAAGAATTGAAATGTACAAAAACTTAACACCGAAAGCATGTGGAATATTAAGGAAGGAAGAAGAGGAGGAAAGAACACTATTTGGAACAAAAGAGAAAGAAAATTGTCACGACCCAAAATCCATTAAGGGTAGTGATGACGCTGGACACCACTGTCAGGCAAGCCAACACCATATAACTAGTAAACTCTCGTTTTAATATTTTCAAAATTATTTCTTCTAAACATTAAACAATGAATAATAAACTTCACTGAACAAATAATGATGTCTTTACAAAATTTATTTACTGAATAATCCCGAAATCATTCCAGAACCCGGTGTCACAAGTGCATGAGCAATTTCTAGGAAATAATGTAATACAATAACCGTCCGGAATACAAATTGGACAGTAGAAAAAATACAATACAATACTCTAAAGGAGACTCTGCTGGTTGTGGGTCGTCTCGAGAAGTGCAGCTCACTTAAACCTCCGTATCAACAGGCCGCTGCGCCCAACTACGCCACTAGACATACATGTGCATGTGCAACAAAAATATACAGCAAGTGTGGTATGAGTACAAAAACAACGTGTACTCAGTAAGTATCCCGTCTAATCTCGAAGAAGTATGACGAGAGGTCGACTTTGACACATACTAATGGTCCAATAATATCATTACAGTAAAGAAGTGAATAAGTATGAAACAGGTAAAATATATATATGAAATAAACATGTATAAAACACATGGTACCATCCCCTTCTTCGTAATTTTACTCAAGTTTTTAGCTAGCAAGTTCCCTCCGTAACCGGATCACATGTGTACAATTATAGTGGTTTCCGTCAAGGAAGTTATCAGGATTCAAATCAGGGAAGATCCCTCAGATACACTGGCTTCTCGCCATGTGTTACGCACGATTCCAAGGAAGTTATCAGGATTCAAATCAGGAAAGATCCCTCAGATACACTGGCTTCTCGCGAATCATACGTGCAACGCAGTCAAATATAAATTTAAGGAATTTCCTCGCTCGCTAATCATAACTGCGACGCGGTTGAATATAGATTTAACATTTAAAAACATGTTTCTTTCTTGATTCCTTTTCAAATAAGGGAAATTCAACTTGTATCTTTTAAGGAAATTACCCCGCTCGCGAAACATACATGCGACGCGGTTACACATAGACATCTTAAGTTATTATAAGATTCCCTCAATTCTTTTCGAAAATACTCAGCTTAATGGAGACACTTAAATTTTTAAATTCCTCATTTAAAATACCTTTCAACACAATTATTACGCAACTTCAATCCTATTTCTTCTCAAGGCAAACAATAACATCAATCAACAATAGTATCAACAAGGCATGATGTAGCCTAGGACTACCCGGACATAGGCATAATAATAGCTACGCATGGACTCTCGTCACCTCGTGCGTACGTAGCCCCCACAATTAGAAGCACATATTTAATTATTTCACCTATGGGGATAATTCCCTCTTACAAGGTTAGAAAGGAGACTCACCTTGCTCCGAAGTTCCATAACCGGCTTTCCAAGCCCTTCCGACGACTCAAAGTGATGCACCGCGCTCCAAAACTAGCCAAAAATGGGAAAACCAATGAAATTACACCCTAATACTTATAACAATTCAATTCATATAAATTCCCAACTCCGCTTGAAAAGTTAACAAAATCGCCCTCAGGCCCACGTGCCCGGATTCCGAAATTTTTCGAAGATAATGTTTACCCATAACCTTACGAACTCAAATATATAATTTACACTCAATTTCATGTCCAAAATCGTGGTCAAAATCCAAGAATACAAATTTATAGGTTTTCCTCAAAATCCCAAATTATTTCCATGTTCAAATCCAAATACAATCATGTATAACTCAAAACTAGTATAAACCACTTACCTCATGCTTGGTGGTGAAAATGGCACCTCAAAGTTGCTCCAAAATTGGCTCCCATGGAAGAAATGGAGTGAAAATGAGCCAAACCCCGATTTTAAAGAACCTCACTACCTCCAGCCTTTTCGTACCTGCGGTCACTTGATCGCTTCTGCGGTTCCGCAGGTGCGACCCCACTACTGCTCCTGCGGTTTCTCACCATGCTGCCCCCTTTCTGCTTTTGCGCTTCCCCTATCGCAGGTGCGTTCCCGCTTCTGTGGCTATATGACCGCATCTGCGGTCTCTGCACTTCCAGCCCAAAACTGCATCTACGTCCCTCATGGCCTCTTCTGCGGCTCCGCACCTGCGGCCCAAACCTCGCAGGTGCGGTTACACCAGAAGGCAGCTGCTTCACTTCTTCAAATTCCAAAATTGATATGTTAACCATCCGGAATCCACCTGAAGCCCCCGGGACCCAGTCCAATCACACCAACCAGTCCCATAACATAATGCGGACCTGCTCGAGGCCTCAAATCACATCAAACAAAGCTAAAATCACAAATCACACTCCATTTCAAACTTGATGAACTTTAGAACTTCGAACTTCTTCATTCGATGCCGAAACCTATCAAATCACCTCCGATTGACCTCAAATTTTGCACACAAGTTATATTCGACATAACAGACCTACTCTAATATTCAGAAACCGACCTTGATGTCAAAAAGTCCACCTCCGGTCAAACTTTTCAAAAAACCTTCAAATTCCTAACTTTAGCCAAATGACTCCAAAATGACCTACGGACCTCCGAATCCACTTCCGATCGCGCTCCCAATACCAGAATCACCATATGGAGTTATTCCCAGACTTGAAATCTCAAACAGACATCGATAACACTAAAATGCATTTCAACCCAAACTTAGAAATTCTCCAAAATGCCAACTTTCACATTGGGCGCCGAAACGCTCTTGGGTCATCCAAAAGTCGATCCGGCATACGCCCAAGTCCAAAATTATCATACGAACCTGCTGGAACCTTCAAATCCTGATTCCGAGGTCGTTTACTTAAAAATCCAATCTTAGTCAATTCTTCTAACTTAAAGCTTTCGAAATGAGAATTTTCTTTCCAAATCAACTCCGAACTTCTCGGATATCAATTCCGACCATGCGTACAAGTCATAATACCTGAAGTAAAGCTGCTCCTGGCCTCAAATCGTTGAACGACGTGCCAAAGCTCAAAATGACCCGTCGGGTAATTTTGGGTTATTTTAAAAGGATTGGATTATTAGATGGGTCAGATCTTTTGGGCTGGGTTAGAAAAATCCATGTGGACCACTAAATAAATGCCACATGTTCAATTAATATGACCAACAATGCTTTGTCATCTTTCTGTTAAGAGAGGGGTATTTATAAGCCTAAAAATAACATTAAGGACAAATTTGGACTAATAGATGGAAGGAGGGCATCTTTGAAACATTTCTAATACGTTAAGGGCATTTTTGGCCTTTTTCTGGTTTTTTGTTTAGGGTTCGTGGAGATGATTTTGTTACATTGGGATTGTATAATGCATAGAAAATTAGAAATACAGTGAATAATGATATGAGAAAATAAATATAGGGGATTGTTATTGTTTGACCAAACATATAATTTTGGCTCAAATAATTAAATTTATATAAACAAAGGTTATTTCTAGTTAAGAATAATATCCTTAGATCTTAATATCAAAAACAGCAATTGATAAACGTTTATGCGGATAGCAGTCACACTATGTGATAAATGCTTTGAAAAAATCAAGAACGGTGGTATAACATAAAATGTTCAATGAATGATACTAAATAGCATTTTAGTAGATAAGAAGTATGATTCACTCAATAAATGGTGGAATAAATGAACCTTCCACCTGATAATGATTGAGTGACAAATCCTCGAATAATCAAGGACTTCTTGAATTTGATGATAAAAGGTAGATGAGAATCTTAGTGAAAAATATATCTTTGTATTGAGTGAAGACCGAATCTTTGTCAAAGTATTTTTCTTACAAATGAATCTCCCGTGTCCCTCTATTCTGTCTCTTTTTTCTATTTATATGGGATATCTTCCCAAGAAATCCTAATAGTACAAATATAAGGAATATTCGCTAGAATATCCACTAGAATATTCTCTTCTGGATCTTATCTTGAAAACTAGCCATTACAGCTCTATCGCTGGTACTCGACCTCGACTTTGATCCTTGTTGGTTCCTTGACTGCGACTCTCCTCGACTCCTCGACCACAGGCTGGTACGGCTTCTCGGACCATCTTAAACGATGGCTTGAGGATCCTTCTCATAATGTTATCTCGGCATGAATGTTCTAAAGGCGTATTTTAACCAATACAGTTAGTCCCTTCGCTTATTGAGGCCGGTCTCAGGCGGCCTTGGTGAGCAGATTATATTCATTACGGTCGAAATGATTGG